ATGTTTGCCCACGTACAGCAGCAGCAGTGCTTCAGAACTTCGCCCACAGCAGCAGTGAACCGTCAACACCTCCATGACTGGGGACAGACGGGGAAGAAACCATCATTTCTTCAGTTGACCACTAGAGGGGTCGGGGGGGAGGTGCAGCATCTGTCAACTAAACAGTATTTAGAACGTGAGTGACAGTCGAGTACAGCCTGTTTAACCTGGGTTCCTGAAGGGGCCGCAGCAGAACTGTTCAAATCAGGCACTGACGGAGCGTCTCTGAGGTTCAACATCAGGTTCTGCCGAGTCATCGGTTTTTCAAATGTTATTAATTGATTAGCGGTCAGCTGATGTTGCTGATTCTTTTTCTACAGAGCCGGCCTATTCAAACAGTGGCTGGCAGGCCATATGTGGCCAAGACACAACCTCAGAGCAGCCCAGTCTAAAGTCACTTGAGGAACCTGGAGATGAAAGAGAACCCGACAGAACCACGTACTTGAACAGAACTTCCTACAGTAGATCCAGCTAGAAACAGGAAACCCACAATGCATTGCTCGTGTGTCTTTTAGCAGTCATCCAGCTGAAACATCAGCTAAACTTTACGTGAACTAACAAATACCAGTTCATTCTGCCACGCTCTGACATGATGTATTATTGAGGGACTGGAAATACTTTTTCAATCGGTTCTGGTCCAAATTTTAGTAGCTGTTGAAAATGATGAGTGTTTTTTTTTTTGTTGTTGTTGTTTTGTTTTTGGGGTTTTTTTTCATGAATTTCTTGGTCTGAAAATATGGTCCAAATGGATGGAGAGTGTTCTAGAGAGAAAAAAAGAACGTTTTACTGCTTTACAAAGTCAGTGTTTGGTAGAAGAACCGCCGACTCAGCAGTATTTCTTCTTTCAGTTTCATTTCAATGGAGATCTTTTGTATCTGATCATCTTTGTTTTTTTGTTTTTTTTCACAGACTACTGCAGTAAGCAGTACACACACCAATTCTAGCAACTAAGACATGGAAATAAACGGTTCATACATTTAAGTTTGGCTTCTCAGCTGCGACACCTTATGAAATGAGAACTAGATTTCAGATGAACTGAGAGAAAGTTGAAGAGTAAATCTTAGTGGTTGACTACTCAGAAAACGTGTTAACTTCTTATTGCGTAGTGGTCTTTAAATGGAGGTCTGTAGGAGAGTGTTTGGGAGCTAGCCCCTGGTGGACAGTAGTAGTACTGCATCCAGAAATGCATTTCCAGATGGCTTCAAAAGCAAAACCTAAAAAGGGCGGCCATCTTTTTTCCATATTCAGTCGTCTGTGATTCAGTTTTAGGAAAAAAGTGACAGCCCTGCTGTCAAGTCTGCCGTTATTCTCATGGCTTCAACTCAAGTCCAAGGAGTGGATCAGTTTCACTTCCTGTCGTTACCTTCTTTCTCATCTGTGTTTCAAAAAACGTTGAGCAGTTCCTTCACAGCAAACTGTCCAAATGCTGTTGCATCTGCTTGGTTTGTGTTTTTTGGTGACGTGTCTGCACTGGGGACTAGAGCTGTTGTGGTTCAAAGCGTCTTCAGTGGGCCAACAGGAAGGGGAGGAGCTTGTGCAGGAAGAGGAGTGTGACACCGATGAAAAGGTCCAGAGCGCTCACCGTGGAGCAGCCTGGAAAAGAGGACCAAGTTAAAGTCAAAACACGGTTAAATCAAAGCAGCAGAGCTAATGATCTGAACATGAACAGTGGGTTCACGTTTTGTCGTCTCTTAAATCACATCATGCTAATGAACTTCGCTCACATACACAGTTACGATACATACACTATGGTCCACCTAGAGTGCCTGATCAACCTTTTCCCCTAATGCCAGGGTCTCCAACCAACCCCTGGTCTGGGGGCCGGTGCCGGTCCAGAGGTCATTTGGTACCGGGCCACAGTGAAAAAATGTACTTACTTTTACTAATTGACTTCATTCTAAAATAATCCCGTCATATCCCTTTACTGTTTTCATTCAGAGATAATCTGTCAATGTTTCAAAACAACAGGTCAAAGGTCATTCAGACTCTGAAACAAACAGAATAAAGTCTAGAAGATCTAAAAGATTTTGAAAATCTAATGATCCTTCAACTTCAATGAAGGGTTGGAGACCGCTGCCCTAGTGGACATATCTGAGCATATCGTGATTAATTAATCAATCAATTAATTACAATAGCGAGTAACCACGATGAATCCACAGCTACCTTGTGAAATAATATGTTTTTAAACATTTGAGAGCCTCCATATTATTATTATATTTAACCCAAAATAAATTCAGCACAATCAGAAAAACTATATTTTGAAATACCTCAACAACATTAACTTGAAAGCCAGCACGACCCGATGCCTTGACCCTCTGTCCCTTATTGACAAGGTTCTCAGTATGTGCTGCACTTGCATCCTTGAAGTTCCTTGGATATTTCATTCTGGTTATTTTTTAAATAACGCAAGTTTGATGCTCCAAAAAATTCTATTGACTTTGCTCACGACCTCTGCTGTGTCTGGGATTTTGACTAAATTTGACGATTGTTCAACCCATGGAGTATTACTCTTCTTTACCGTTGGCTAATGTCCTGGTATTTCTGCGATCTCTGCAGCTTTAAGAAACACGATCAGACCTGACAGTCCGAAAAACAAAGTCAGTCCTCTGACTCAGGCGTTTATGTGCTGCTGTTACAAAGCATTCGGAGCTCCAGCAGCAGATGTGGCGTTACATAAACCAGGAGCGGAGACACGGACTCGCACGCTGCTCCTCTGTTAATCACTGTTGTTTGTTTCTTTTTGGCTGGTAGCGCACATAGATCACAGAGGGAAGAAAAGTGTGTTGGGAAGTTTGTCTTTGTCAAACACTGATCAGCTAAACTAATTAGTTCAGTCAGCCTGCAGAGTGGCCATACGGTGTAGTCTTTGAGATAAGATAGTGCTGTTTTCATTTCACTGCACCAGCACCACCACAGGGCTTTCCTCATTATTATGGCTCTGCTCTGAGCAGACACTGTTCTCTGCAAAACCCACGGCACTGTTTGTACCTGTCCTTATTACACAAAGCCCTGCACTCTCTGTGTGTGTTTGTGTGTGTGTGTGTGTGTGTGTGTGTGTGCAGTAGCCACACAGAAACACAGTGCTTCAGCTTCTTTGCGATAAACACCGTCACATTCTGCAATCACGACGTGGGCACTTGCTAACAGACACACGGAGGGAAATAATCACAACAAAGGCCTGATCGGAACAAAAGTGGGTCGTAAACACGTGCACATCTGCATGGCCGACGTGGAATGGAGCATTTAGAAAATAACCACAGTCAACACTGAGCTGTCAAAATAAATTAATTTGTAAAAATTAATCAGATTAAAAATGAATACATTCCAACCCATGGGCCGAACGACACACACTGTATTTCCAATTGGATTCAAATAAAATCCAATAGACTTCAAGTGAGGATATCGTTAATTTTACGTTAAGTTATAATTGTTCTTCTCACAAAAGTCTTTATCGACAGTTTTTTTGCGTTGAGTCATTAAAGTGAAGTACCGCATTTCACCTCAAGGGAGCAAAATATTTGTTGCACAGTTTGAACATGGTGTTCTTTTAATGTCAAACTAAAATACAGCCATAGAAATTACTACATGAGTACAACAAGTTAGTTGTTAGTAATACAGTTCTGTTGACAACTGAGAGAGAGGAATAGAAGGTATTGGATAGGTTTTAGTACTGCAGTATCTGTATGTGTCAAAAACAGCAGTAATGCAGCTCCAATTCTATGCAAAAAACATTTATTATTTTTCTGTTTATTATAAAAAGAATCGCATTCCTAAGAACTTAGAAAAATTCTCTTTTTTTCATATGACCTAAAAAATATTTGTTATATTATATTATATTATGATAAATATTTTTCATTCAAATGAAATGTTTTCGTATATAATATTTATATTTTTTGTTGTAACACATTTTTACTAAGTGTAACTTTGCTAAAAACGTATTATTTTCATCAAACATCTGGATAATTCCTTATCAAAACAATTAATAAAAATTAAAAAAAATAAAAAGTCAGAGTTCATTCTGAAGTACTGAAGTACTGCCTGTTATGTGTATTTGCAGTAGTTTCTCAACTCTGGACTTTGATGAGTTTGAATTATTCACCAGTGAACTTCAGTGAAGAGCGCTGGTGCAGAGAGAAGAGCTGCAGCAACCACCACCATCTGTCTGGTCGCTCGCGGTGCCAGTCATAAATAGGTGATACACATCCACGCATGATTCCGCTTTAATGCTCCCACAACTAAAAGTAGAGTTTCCCCCCGAACAACCACCATCTGGTACAAAAATACACGGGACTGTCAGTACTGCACGACTCTCACGGCGGCCTCACGTCGATATCGCATTGTTCATGTTTTCAGACGGCGCCGCGTGTTTGGTACTGTAAAACACTTGCAGTTTGGTGTGTGTGTATAAATGGGGACAAGCGTGGATTAGTTGGTACAGTAGAGGGGGTTGTCCTTCATGTGTCTTTGGGCAAGGCACTCGGTCACACTTCTCTTATCATCCCGTACAGTCTGTGCCAGCCTGGTGCTGGTACTGTTCATCCCGTACAGTCTGTGCCAGCCTGGTACTGTCCCCCTGGTACTTGGAAATAAATGTGAAAAGTTAAAGAAGAGTAGAACGCTAGTTAACGCAAGTTACATTTTTTTCATAAATGATTGATTGTGTTTGAAATTAATCACAATTAATCACCAATAATTTCTAAATATGACGATATAAAAAAAATAGACCTTGAAAATTGTTTGCAATTGATTGATCAGGAGAGTCAGTCTTTTTGCTGCGTCAAAACTTCCTCTAGACTTGAACTTAACAGACGTGCTCCATTATTGGGAAATATATGGCTTGACATTTCTCTTGAAGATATTCCGATGCTGATTCATGCTGCTCTACACTTTCTGCTCATCTGATCTCTGCAACAATGACAGAGTCCACGCAGTAGAAACCAAACCAAACACACACCGCAGCTTCATTTGCATTTACAGTGTTATATTCTGATGGACGATGAATGTAAACACCGAGTATCGACCTGTTACTTCACAGACTGGTCTCACAGGTTCCAGGTGTGGACGTGTTAAACATGGATTTTTTTGTATTCAAAGTATGAACAGAAAAAGGAGGGAAATATGACAGGACACTGAGGTGATATATATGTGAAGGTTAAATCATTACAGTGTAATGATGTTGTACAATGATGTCATGAGGTTAATCATGACACACTGCAAAGAGGCTTTAGAACAGCGGTGTCAAACATAGGGCCCGGGGGCCAAAACAAGCCCGCCAGGCAGTTGAATCCAGCCTGCTTGACTAATTTAAATTAGTTAAGCAATAATAAAATTATTTTTAAAAATACACACAAAAACTTTATGATCAGTACATTTTTTGTAAAATTATATTTGATTAAATATGAAGAAATAAGAATAAATATCAAATATACTTCTGCTTCTTTGCATAAAAACAAAGGGGAAAAACAAGGACGTTGTTGTTATTTATAGTTAATTATCTTGTGATTGTACTGGTCCAGCCCAACCAGAAATGAGTTTGTTTCACTGTCAACTGACGGCGCGGTGTCCAATCACATTCACCCTACCTTTCCCACACAGAGGTCTATTTTCAATCTCTTTTTAGTCTCTAAATGCTACAGTCTGTCTTTTTTTTTCCAACTGCTGCAAATACAATTCCAGGCTCGGTGCCAGATCCTGGAATTCTGCCACGAACAAACAGACAACCTCATCAAAGAAAATAATCCGTCAACGCACTTTCTGCTCGGCACACCTCTGCACCTCTGTCACTGCAGAGAAGGAAATCCATTAAAGAAATCATTATGGATTTACAGGCTCACGGAGCGTGAGACAATTTAGTTTTCACTGGAGCAAGCTGCAGACAATTCTAAAAAAAAAAAAAATAATCAGGGAAGGACTTCATGACCAAAATGATCAGACTGGCTACTGCATTTTTAAAAGGAGCCTGAAGACATCCAGTCAAGCACCAGCACTACACACTTTTATAGTTTGGGTAGAATTAGGCCTTGACTTGATCTGCTGAAAATTCTATTAGAGGATGGAGACATTTGGTCCAATAGCTTCTGAAGGATCTCTTCATCATTAGACTTCATCAACACCATTAGTCATTTCTGCTGTTTTTTTTTTTTTTTTTATGAACTCAGTCGACTGCAGGACATTTAGGTTTCTGCTCAGAGCCTAAGAACTTGTCAAGGTTCCTCCCAGAAAACTGTACACAACAATTGTGCCCAACATTTGGATATTCACGGTGACAACTAACTTCTGGTGGACCATAGACCTGCACAGCACCCCCCAACCCAAGACTGTTTGAAAAGTTTCAGACTCTGGTGGAGGATTTTTTTCTTTTTGTATCTTATCTTGAAAACATTATAAGTGAAATCTTTACACTTCAGCCTGGAGATCTAAGATTTTATGATGATACTTTTAGTCCTAATTACTCTGCCACAGCTTTATTGAGTGTGGTGTAGGGAGGGTCTTCTAGGTTTATCAAGTTACCAAGTTTTCAAATTAACCTAAATTTCTATACCACATCTTTACTTGTTTTTCTAGGTCAGGAGTGTGAAACATACGGCCCGTGGGTCAAAACCAGCCCGCTAGTGGTTTCAATCCGGCCAGCTTGATACATTTTTAAAGTAAAATTTGTTAGTCCTGTTTGTCAAATTATATTTAATTAAATATGAATAATTTAACGGGAACTTGTTCTTTATATAGAATCAATTATATTTCATTAAATATGAATAATTTAACGTGAACTTGTTCTTTACATAGAATCGTGTTATAATGGTGCGGCCCACCTGACATCTAATCAGGCTGGATGTGGAGCCTGTACCAAAATGGGTTTGACACAAAACTTCCATGTACAGTTCATAGAAACAGAATTTAGAAAAGAAACGTCTGAACTCTCATTCACACTTACCAGCTTCACGTTGCCCAAACATGGCCGTGTGTCCTGTCAGTGGTGAGGCCGAGGACTTGACCACGGAGCTGCTGGTTGATAGGATGGATGGGAGCAGCCCAGGTTGAGTCTGCTGAGACCCCGCGTGCTTCCCCTTCCCTAACCTGGGACCTCCTCCCAGACCCAGGCCGGGCTCAGACGTGGTCCTCCCTGCAGCACCAGAGTTGCTGTTCCTCTGCGGCCAGCGGTTCTGAATGTGAGAAACGGCCTCCTCGGCCACCATGCCCTCACCTGGCATGACGCGCAGTACGGCATGGACGGTGAATTCCTGAGTATCGTCCGCCCACAGGTCGGACACGCGGCACTCGTACACCCCCTCGTCCTCCTTCTTCACCTTGGACAGGCTGAGGCGATGAGATATGGCATTGCCCTGCACACGCACAGTCTTCATGCACAGAGACAGGAGGAAACATTAATAAAAGGCAAACGGCCGCAAGGACTGTGGGCTGCAGCCCACACACAAGGCAGCTGCCCTGGGTGCCATCTGCTGTGGGGCCACAGCTACAAGACCTTAAAGAATCATTTAATAAAACAAATGATTTTTTCAGACTTTCAGACTGTTTTGCTATCCATGTTGTGGGGACAGAATTTTTAATTTATAATTACGTAATTTTGTGTTTTTTGTGTGTTTATTTTATTTAATGTTTCCTTAATATTTGTTTGTTGTCCGTCCAATTCAATAAATGTTGTACTTTAAAGCTCACATGTTTTCATATCCTATGTTGACTTGATGATTTAATGTTGGGAATTGTTCACCATATTTACTGTATGGTACAAAAACATAAAAATAAAAAAAAACATTATAACTTAACAAAAGTCACCTTCAAAAATAAAAGAGAAAAAAAAGAAACTCACACTTATTTTTGTGGCTTCCCTCGGATTGACCTGCAAAAAGATAACTCACATCAGAACATCATGTTCCACAAAACAATTCAAAGGTGAAACTGTTCTTCTGCCAACAGAACAGACTTTTGTTTTTTCACCGCAGATTGGCAAAATGTCAATTCTTCCTGAGGCTGCATTTAACCAAAAAAGGATGTATACACTCTTGACAGTGCTCTGAGTTCTGAAACATAATGTACTTTTATAATTTATACCATTAAGCTGCAGACAGCATCTGTCAATGTAAAGAGCTACAATCAGGACCGAACCTAATGCTGTAGTTTCAGTTTACTGACTCACTGCGTGACCTGGGCCTGTTTAGTTGAACACAACCCTGATGTACTCTCAGGAATTGAAGAAAGAAAGACTTAAAGATCTTCTTGGAAATCAGGTTTTATAAACATCTGCTGCCACCTAGAGGAGAGACGGTAAATAATAATACTTTTCCGACCAATTAAGTGAAATTGAATCATGGATCATTAAATTACTGCTTCGTTGTATTCCAAAAAATAGTGTATAATAATAATAATAATTCCATATTTTGAGAATATTTTCGTGTAATGGATCTCCACATTGACGAAACATTTGTTACACAAGGAATGAAGACATTTATTTTCAGGAATTACATTTTCTTTCTAGTAAAGATTACTACAGTTGTGCCACTGTGGAGTATGGAGGAAAAATGTTCATGTGTGGAAAGTGTGAAAATGTGACCTGAACATACAGCCTGACACAAAGGAGAATTTTGTGTCGATTTGGTGTTGAGAGCAAAAGTCACGAGCAGAGAAGGTTGTTTACATCTCTGAAGATACCAGTGATAAAGCTGCATGTTTGTAATAGGCTTAAAGCACAGAGAGGCAAAACCACAGATGTGACAGTTCCTGACTCTGCACATGAAAGGGAGAGAATCCGGCTAATTCGTCAAGCTCTTGGGAAAAGTAATTCCCATTGCATCCCGTCACATCGCATCGTGATGCCTTAAGA